AGCCATCTGCACAAGGCAGGGTTAAATGTCAGTGCTCCCCAGAGCCATCTGCACAAGGCAGGGTTAAATGTCAGTGCTCCCCAGAGCCACATCTGCACAAGGCAGGGTTAAATGTCAGTGTTCCCCAGAGCCACATCTACACAAGGCAGGGCTGAATTTCAGTGCTCCCTAGAGCCACATCTGCACAGGGCAGGGCTGAATGGCAGTGCTCCTCAGAGCTACTTGCACAAGGCAGACCTGAATGTCAGTCAGTGTTCCCTGGACCACATGCACAAGGCAGGGCTGAATGGCAGTGCTCCCCAGAGTCACATCTGCACAAGACAGGGCTTTGGTGTGACTTGTACTGAGTTCAGGCCACCACTTCCTGTCTCTGTATTCCCAGATGAATCGCTTTGTTTCTTGAAGCCAGTTTCTTCAGCACTAAGAAACTTCTGTGAACCTTGATTTTTTTTTTCACTGTCATTACCGCTTACCCATGTGGTCATGATGCTGGGGAGACAATACAAAATTTACAAACCCCACGAGCGGCCTCCCTATTTCGTTATTCTCTTGGCCCAGTCAGCTGGTCCTTGCCACCTTCCTTCTCCAGTTTAACCCATATCTACTGACCTTTTAGGGCTCGTTCAAAGACCACCTTTTTAATAAAAATCTTCTTCCTTCTTACTGGAAGAGATTTTTTTCTACATCATCTTCCGAACCTCTCTGGTATTTACCATTTCCTTCTTGGTGCCTCAGTCACCCTGTGCGATTGTTCCCCCTTGTGTGTAAGTTACATAGGGACAGACTGCCCGCTCTCCAATCTCGTGTCCTCAGAGTACCGAGTAGGATACCTAGCATGGGTGTGTGCTCAGAAGTATGTGCCAGCTATGTGTAGGGCAGTTCTGTGATTTAAGAATCCCTATTCCATTCTTCTCTGGAGAGCAGATGGCATGGATAATGCATCTTTCCATATGATCCATGTAAGGAGGACAAAGAGGTCCAGAGAATCCCGGCAAATAGTTATAACAACTCATCACGTGAGCTAACGTCATAAAGCCTTACTGGAGGGCTCGGCACAGTGTTAAGACTGAAAAGCTGCTGACATGGAGCAGAGTATTTCCCAAACGAGGGGAACCCATAGTTAACACCCCAAACACCTATCTTTGTGGCACCCCCTTAAACTGCAGTGTGGAGAGTTGTAAATCACAGCTACGATTATTGTTTGTGAGAGGTACGAAGTCCTTGTGAGAGGTAGGAAGTGAGAGGTAGGAAGTCCTTAAGAATATGTCTATTGTCACCTCTATGGGTTCTGAGTTGACTCTGGGTCCCTTTGATGGAATCCAAGCATTAAGTTTCAATCCAAACTTAGCTTATCCTGCCTAACGGTGTGGTCCGAGAGGGCTGAACCTCTGTTCCACAATATCTTTTATATTGCTGCCTCCGAGGGATTGTTCTGTGTTTAGAAGGCTTTTACTCTTTCAGAGGTTTTCATTCCAGGTGAAGTGTCAACCTCAGGTAACATTTCCAGGATGCTCTCTCAAGAAGCTCCATGTCAGCAAGATTTCTCTGACCAAAGCAACCTGAGAGCCCTGCACACCTGAGCCCTCTTGTGTGACGCACTGGAGTGGCTCACAGCACAGCCAGGGACCAAGTCACCCGGTAAAGAAATCTAAGTCAAAAGTGCTTTCAATATGGCTCCCTCTCCCCTTTCCTTCCTTGTTCAAATAGCACTAGTAACATCACGGGATGCTATCTCATGGGATACTGCTTTAGTTCTGTGCTTATCACAGCCGGGCTGAAAGTTTAGCTAAGAACAAGACACTAGGAGAGACATGAGGGAAGTCGGAGAGAAAGAATGCTAAAGGTGATCCATGAGGCCACCATGACACAGGTGGTGAAGCTTCCCAAGGACCATCCTTGGTTCCTAGTCCAGACAGCAGTTGAACCTCTCTTTTTCTCTTCCACATCCCAACCACCAGCAAGCAATATCATCAGACCGTGAGGACCACTGCTGTATCTCCCTGTGATCTTACTCTGGGGTTGCAGGGAGAGAGGAAGGGGATCCTGCATAGCAGTGTTTGCTCAGATGGTTTGACAAAGAGGAAGGAAAGAAACAGAGGAAGAGAGAAAGGGAGACGAACGTGACTAACGGGAGCTGGGCTGGTAGGACGTGGGCAGGATGGAAAGGAGACAGTGGAGATCAGCAACAGGGCAGTACAAGTTAGCAAACCCTCTGCCCAAGCCAGGAGTCAAATATCAGCCAGGCCAGGGGCTTTCTTTAATGTGTAGAGAGCTCTTTCTAACCCTTGGTGGAAGGGCACTCATCCTTCTGTTCTTGGGCCTCTCAGGATCTGCATTTTTCTGGCTGTTGGCAGGATTCTGCCTGAGATCTTCTTAGCGGCCAGATGACTTAACCACTTTGCAGCATTAGCCGGAAACCCAGGAGAGCAATGTAGAAGGGCCCAGGTTTGCACAGAAGCCAGAATTGGGAGGGACTGAGAGGGGCTTCCTCTTATCCAGGACTCTCAGACTGTCCACTTTGGGCATGCAAAGCAACTAGGAGATCTTTGGCAAACTAAGGCAGCTAAGAAATACTGGAAGCCGAATGCAAGATATGCAACACTTTTGGGAATTTATTGCGCTGAAGGACATTCTAGGGTACCTTCTGATTGCTCATTAGTATCAGAGAAAGAATCTTGTAAAAATGACTTTTTAAAAGAAACATTATATATTCATCAAGATGTGGAGATATGTGTGGGGTGAAACAGCGGCTAAGATGAGAAGCCATCTCCCTTTACAAGATTCAAAAATTTCAAATTGATGTTCTATGATTCTGTTCCAGAATTAAATAATTATGAAAAGCAATTCTCCCTGGGACAAGGTTACCCTCTGAAATAAGGTCTGGAAGTCATTAGTAAGTGCATTTTAAAATAAATCTCTGCTTAGGGAATTGTTCAAGTCACTCACTCGACCTCACAGAGTGGGGGCCTCATGGAAACTATTCAGACGCCTGGAATTCTCTGGCCTATCAGGTTAAGGCTCTTGTTGGAGTTGGCAGAGATGGCAAAGCCTTAACACAAGTCTACAGCCCTCTGCTTGAGACCTTGGTTTCAGGCTGGCTTATGGTGTCTATGCTCCTACTTTAGGCGCTTCATTGCTTTTGTACAAACCATAAATCCACCAGAACTTAATCTCCCTCTGAAATGCAGGGCATCTCAGGAGAGTGCTGGGGGGATGTGTTTCTGTATGTTCCTGTGAGTGTGTGGGTGTTGATTTGTGCTTGCACTGTCGACACCATTTCTCTCTGTGTGTTTTATAGTTGGGATGGTTTGATCGTTTGAATGGAATAACGTAATTACCCATGGTATTGCACGTCTCTAATTCCAACTAAACACAATGGCAAAAACAAGACAAAAAAATGCAGAACTCAAGTAAAAACAAAAAGCAAATCACACAATGTTACTGAGGTCATGCAAAGAAGAAAATGAAGAGGTTAAAATATGGGCAAGCAACAGACACCATAAATGAAAGAAGGAAAAGAAAAAAGCCAACGGCATACAATTCTGAAGTCATTCTTACCTTCTTCAGTCATTGTGTCATAATATTTTAGTTTTCCATATGATCCAAGTTCTACAACATCACAGTAAAAGACACAAAGATAAGGAACGAGCTATAATGCAAGAACTTTGTTTTTACACATTCTTAATTAATCAGATTCAGAGTTATACTGTCAAATTAGGCAATCGTAACTATATGGAGATGTGCAAACATGAGCCATGTGGCAGACGGCTTCCCGGCCCATTTTCGGAATCACTGAAAATATATTATTCAACTTAGGGTGGGCTGGGCCCTGCATTACAGAAGAGGACACGTTCGTTCAAAATGCCACAAAAGCAGAAGACTTGGCAAAGGTGCTTCAGCCTGGACTTTGCCTAGCCTTACTTTTATACAAGCGATACTCCAGGAGGAAAGGCCTGAGTCAGGACAGCCAGCTGGAACCAGAGAACCTTGTAGATACTTGCCGTCTTCAGTGGCCCCAAAGTCATTGCTTGGCTTTTCCAGCCTCTGACAGAACCATCTCTTAGAGGATAAGGAGGCTACCTGGAGATAGGCATCAAACAGCCCCACAGCTCGTCTATCACCGAGGATCTCATACTTGGCGATGAAACACCAAGGGTCATAGGTACAGGATGCTGGGCAAGCTGCTAGTGGCACTGAGGGCACTGAGTACCAGTGAAGCATCTTCCCAGCCAAGTCCACCCGGCTGAGACAGGTCAGAGAGTAGTACAACCTGGAGGCCTGCTGTGGTGCAGAGCAAGGGTGGGGGACCAGTTTTCGGGCTTCTGAGTGTAGATGGCCCTGGGAATCTGTCTGTACTGGGAGGCAGGGATGTTGGAACCAGCTGGATGTATGGCAACCGGGTGAGGGGAGAGGTGGATGGCGGGGGGATGTATCATTTCTCTTTTTCTTACTTTAGTTTCTAAACAAAAAAACTGTGAGTTTTGTTCTTCTCAAAATCCAGGATTATTTTGAACAATGTAAGCAGATTAAAAATGGCCATCACAACATCCTACTAATAAGCTTCAAGAAATTAATTAGACTCCAGAGACACTCCACAGAACGTGTCCATGGCCCATTGCCTTGGATGAATGCTGAAAACCCACATGTGAATCAACTTGTAATCGCTGAGTCTGTGTGAGAGGCAGGAACCTGCTTAAAGCAGATGACAAACATCCCTGCGTTGGATCTTTGCATGGTACCATGCATGCTCTTTCTATATATTCCTTTCCACATGTCTAATTTTATCTACAGCTATTTTGAAACACCAGTGTAAAATTATGCCCTCGGGGGAAATTCACCCCATCTTTATGTTCTTGTGAATCTTACCTAGCCAACTCTTGTTAGAATCATTACAAAAGAAGAGGATGCCTCAACGAGAAGTTGAGTTTTATGTAAATAAGATATTTTTGGTGATTTCTTGGATTGCTATTAGTGAAATATTTTTTTTCTGTAATTTTAAGAACAGTTGGTATGTGTGTGTGTGTGTTTACAAAAGAGTAGAATTTTTAAGTGATCTACATAGTTCATAAATATTAATCATATGTTTATAATGGCATTACAAAATAGGCGTGTATGTGTAATCTTGCAGGAAATAGAGAAATTCTACCGGCCAACTAATAGTTTTTTTGTAATCTCCCTTCCTTCTGCCAGGTAAAGCAGAGGTTATTCCACTGCTAGAATAATAAACCACTAGAGTTCATGATGATCTGCTCAGAAAACAGGACGTGGGTGACCCTGTGTTTGCAAAGGTGGCTGTCAATCATGTTCGGCACAGTGATGTCACACCACTGCGGGTTAGTGGAACCCTCTTTTCAGATGCAAACCTTTCTGTATACACCCACCTGTTATCAAGCATTGATCCCAACCTTGAGGCATCTATTTATGGTGAATGATATTGTTTTGAATTTCATCTTTAGTGGAACCATGTATAATAAATGCAATCACATTGTTTAATTGTAACTCTATGTTCATTCACGGAATAGAAACTGTTCACATATAACAAGCCTCGCCCATTCTTGCACCGTGGCAATATTTAGATTGTGTCTGAGCGGCTTCCTTGGATGCTGAATGGGACAGAGGGACAAGAACAGGGCACACTCCATGGAAGAAACAAGGCAGACAATGAGGAATGAAGGCAGTGAAAAGCTGCCTAACCACACGTTACATGGCTATTCGAGCAGTAGGAAGCAGGAAGCCGAAGGGGATATCCACTCAAGCAGAGGGGGATCATATTTATGGAGAAGGATGAAGGATGAAATCAGCCAATTAGAACACAGTCTTCCTCGCTGGCAGCCACGGGATGGTGAGATGGAGAACTCAGCAGCCACATCCCGAGGGAAGCAGGGAAGCATCTCCACGAGCCAGACAGCCCTGTTCCCTAATCCTGGGGTCGTGGGTGGTGCAGGATGAGGGATGCAACATGCAAGCAGGACAAACAGTGTGCGTTGTAGACGTCAGAGCTCCTCACATACCTGGCTACTGTCCCATAGCCCAGGGATGCCCCACGGGAAGTGACCTCAGTCACTGTTTGTTGATAGTCTGTGGCCAGGCCTAACCTGGCTGTGAGGGCCCAGAGGCATAATGAAAACTCACCTGTGCAAGGAACTTGACCTCCAAATCACCCATTCCCACAACCCATTGACATCTTCTCAAGTCACCTTCAACTTACATCTATTTACTATCTTCTCTCTCTCTCTCTCTCTCTCTCTCTCTCTCTCTCTCTCTTCTATCTACCCACCCACCGACCCACTTATTTATTTATTTATTTATTTATTGAGACAGAGTTTCACTCTCTAGTTCTGGCTGTCCTGGAACTCATTCTGTAGACCAGGCTGGCCTCAAATTCAGAGGTCCTGCTTGCCTCTGCTTTCTGAGTGCCGGTATTAAAGGTGTGTGTGACCACTGCCCTGCTACCTTCAACGTATTTGGACTAAGAACCAAGCTTGTTTCTTGAGGAAAGGAGAGAAGAGGCCGAGAGAGCTTAGAAGGTTAATGTTTGGTCTCATTCAGCAGTGTTCAGTGTAGCAAGTGAGCAAGAGGCAGTTAGGACTGGAAGAGAGGTAGGCCACCCAGGCTTTCCATTCTGGGAAACCCCTGGTGTCTTTTCTTCGCAAGGTTTCTCCAAGAAGACCAAGAGACCTGGGGGCAGGGATCCCAAGCCCAGTGGTTTGTGTTTGGGAGGAGCCTACGTCTGTGACATAGAGGACTCCTAGCTCAGTGCCATGCAAAGTAATTGGTGTAGCTTTCGGTGAGGCTGAAGGCTGAGCAGCGACATTGCCTAACTTGGTGCTGCACTCGCTTTGGGGCCATCTGGAGAGCTGGGAACCAAGGTGCGGACTCAGTCCTGGTTCATTGTCCCCCTGCCCACTGTGATCCACGCTTGCCATCAATCTTTCTCCCTGACTTTAAGGGGTTGGCTTCTGGGTTCTCATTCATGCCTCACACTGCGCAAAATCAGAGTAGGGGCTTTGCTTCTAATCTTAAAGAGCTGTGAATAACATTCCCATACAAAACTTCAAGACAAAGTATAAAGGGAGTTTCGCTGCTTCATGAAACGCGCTGTTTAGAAACCTTTAGATGCCAGGTGGTGCTTCACACCTTGAATCCCAGCACTTGGGAGGCAGAGGCAGGTGGGTTTCTGGGAGTCCGAGGCCAGCCTGGTCTGCAGAGTGAGTTCCAGGACAGCTAGAGCTACACAGAGAAAAACCCTGTCTTGAAAAAACAGGAAAAAGAGAAACCTTTAGAAAGGCGATTTTACCCACAGTATAGACAGCAGTGGGCATTGTTCTGATTGGATAAGGTTTATGCTTTGCTGTCTGTCTTTAAAAAATATGGGAATGAGAATCAGTGTTTGGGGTTCCCGACGTCAGCCTTTCTCAAGAAGTACACGGTAAAGATTTCTCTTTCCTCAGCTTAATTTTCGAGGCCTTTGACATTCTTCAACCCACAGCGTCCACCAAACCCTAGAGACGGGAGCAGCAGGAAAACCATTTCTCATGTCTGAAGACTGAAAATTCAAATATGTGAAGTGGAAAGTCAACAGAAGGACCTACGCTGAGTTTATTTGATTTGAATGAAAACTGGAGGTGGAGGAATAAACGAGACTACACGTTTATAATTTAAGTGTCCTCTCCCAGAGGAATTAAAGATTGATGCTTTATTCCTTTCGCAGACCTAGCTTTATTTCTAGGGCAAACCCGGAAATCGAGGTTTTCTTAGAACTGACTGCCGTTTCTCGGTAAAGCTGCCCAGGGCTTACCAAGACGTATGCATGAGTACTGGCTTGCATGCAAGGGTTCTGCTACGCAGTGCGTGGAAGAAGATGGGATTTGAAGTTGGAGCTGTAGTTTTGAAGCCAAAGTATGCTGCTTACGGGACATGTGACTCTGAGCCAGGTGTTTCCTCTCTCTGGATGCTGGCATCCTCAGCTGTAAAGGTACACGATGATTGCTTTATCCTATAAACAAGGTGACAGTGAAGGGCATACTGGATGGCCCACACAAGGCAGAATATGAGAAGCTGCCATTATTGAAAGTACCACCAAGATGAGAAGCCCGAAGATGAGGAGCAGGGCAGTGAGGCAAGTTGGTACCTTATCCAAGCTTGTAAAGACAAATCCAGCGTGACCAAGATAATCCAAATAGGGATTTGTTGTTCAGTAGGAAGGGATATTCATCAGGTTGGAGCCAATATTTAACATCTCTTCATTAAGTCTGCACATCTACTCTCAGATATAAGGAGAATCAAAGCACATACCTAAAGGAGGGCACGTGGTCCTTTCCCTGTCAGGTACTAATTGAAGTCCAGACAGTTCCCCTTTGAATATTGCTGGGGAGTTGCTCTCTGGCTATCTCGTCTACACTGGGGACAAAGATCATTTCACTTTAAGTCTAAAACAGAAAACCGTGTTCTCATACCACATGCTTGGCTCTCCTCACATTTCCTAAAGGAAACTATTCAAACGCCCAGCTCCAGAGACAGTGACATTCCGAATGCCTTGGTATGTGGAGGTTTTCTGGACGTGGTAAAATAAAGAAGGTCAACACTGATGCCCAAGGTTTAAAACTACA